AACATCTCATTTGAACCAGTGCTTCATTCAACATACCCTATGATACACAAAAATCGATGTTTAGGCGTATTTTTCTAACATCTACTTTTAAATTAAGAAATTAACTAACATATAATACTAAAATTTGAATTAGAATCTACAATTTGATACCAAACTTACAGACATAAATTCATAAAATAATAGTTCCATAAAATCTTGAATGCAAGTCAACAAACGAGATGACATGGCCTTTGACACATGACCCATCGAGATAGGGTTAATACTATTATTTACCAATCTTATTAAGTGAACTTATCTTTTCAGTAATTTACCCAAATTACTAGAAATACAAATGTCAATCAGGTCGTTAGACAAATTTAGGTAACATATTCCAAAAACTTCAACAACACAGCTTTCAAATGTCTTAACTACCCACTTAGGAATCTATGGCTTCAGAAGTCACAACTTGGACCTTTGCTTTTTGTTTTTTTATTAACATTAATGACATTGCTAGGGTAATAACTAGTAAATTAATAAAATCTGCTGATGACATTGAACTCTTGAGTACCTTTTGCTTACTGACGATGCTAAGGTACTATAGAAAAATTTATATCAACAAATAAGTTGGGCAAACAGATGACAAATTACTTTTATAGTAAGTGCAAGGTAATTGCCTTGGGTTATCCTAATTTGGGTTATTCATTGAATACAGATAGGAACACACTCAATTACATGAGTGAAGAAATTAATTTTGGCAGAGTGGAAGATACTCAATAAGTCATGGTAATTCTCTGTTGCTAGTAATGAAACAAAGAGAAGCTTTTTACAGACATATTTATTTTTTGTAAAAAAAAGGTAAATATATGTTTTTACACTAGTCTGGTCTTACTTGAAATACAGCATACAGTTTTGACCTAAGAAAGGATACTTTACTTGCTGGAAAAGTCCAGAGGAGGGCTACTAGCATAATTCCAGGGATGGAATGCCTAACTTCCATGGACAGATTAAAATCTTTTGCCTTATTTACTTCTGACAAAAGAAGGGTATGAGGTGTTATTACTGAAGTTTAAAAAGGCTTCCATGGGGTCAACAGGATAAAGGTCTCTCATTTCTTTATGATTAATTCTGAGGATTACACGATGACACAATACAAGTTTGTTCATGATTTAAAGTCATATTTCTTCCAAGAGGGTGATTAATTAACTGAATAAATTTCTGTTGGCAGTAATTGACATCAACAACTTAAAAAATCTTTCAAATAGGAATCAATGATTTTCTATAAAATTAAAAGTAAGTTTAATTTTAATTTTTGTTTCCTTGTTATGAATGTAAAAGGGCAGCAGTGAAAAATCAAATGCACCCTTGTTGTCCATATGTTCAACTGTGTTAAAAATTTTAAACAATCTAAAAAAAACAAAAACAAAGTGCTTTTTACATACAGGATTGGGGTAATGTCAATGGTTTGAGTGGCATTTTGTCACCTAACTTGTTCTTTGGTTCTAATTTTCCATTATTCATATATGTACATGTAAAGTATTTCTATATTTTGATATATATGTTCATATGTTTATTGTGCTAATTATTTGTAAACTTTGTAATACTTGTTTTTATATGGGACTACCCAATAATCCAATAGCATGCACAATCAATGAACAGTAAGTATGCATTTGGTGCTACATACAGTGTTTTACCAATAATTGGTTCAGTAATCAGAATTGGGCCAATTATTGCATAATCGAGTGACAATTGGAATCAGTAGAATTTGTCAAATTTCCTGATCCTGGAAAACAGATTGCCGAGAAATTAGGAATAACACCACCCAGACCACTTTATTCAAAACAACAATCTTGTGATTTGTAATTATGCCTACAATCACAACCCTGTACTTTTTCTTTCGACACAATACACAAAACATTATTCACCACAGAAAAAATATCATCTGTAAAAACAATTTGTTTCGCACTTATTTACATAAGATGATACACTGAAAGAAAGAAAGGTTAAAAAACAATGCTCTACATATCATGAAGCATGCTCATTTCTTTACGGACCATACATTAGCAAACAGTTGATAACAGCAACCTATACACAGAACTAATACATGTGCACTTTACAGAAATCTACACAGACTTTTTTGTGAAGTTCTTGGGATGATACGCCATTGTTTGGGGAGGTCACTGAAGAGTGCATGACAACAGATCAATTGGAAATTTGGAATGTCCCATTACTTTCTAATAGGAAGATTTGTCATTTGTTTGAATTGCACATCAATGTCGGAGATGTCACTATAAGTTGAAAGTGAAAAAAGAGTATGTACAAATATTTACAAAGTAACTATCCTATTGGACAGCTATAGAAAATTCCATTTCAACATTTGACAGTCCCGTTATTTATGAATATGCATAGTTTCAAGGAATTAGCTTAAAGTTAGTTGTGGGTTGACAAATGTGATTGCTGATTGGCTGGATTGCTTCTCTCACATCAGACACATAACATTATGTATCAATCATATACTCGTCACAAGGACAGTCCCCCATTTTTATTTTTCATTTGTTCAAATAAAAAATGGAAAAGAGATCATGATTTTTTTTTTGCATGGCACATTTATTGATAACTTCAACCATTCCAAATTTAAGAAAGCTTCGAAGTACATTCTCTGTAGTTGTTACAATTGTTATGGTTAAACTGTCAACAATAGTACATAATGACATCAACTTTACTGTACCTAATCGAAATTGGGCCGATTGTGCTAATTAGTGATTTCCGATTGTGACATGATCAATAAAATACTAGACATGCTTACATGTGTTCCAATAAATTAAATTACATGTAAATTTTGAAGATAAACACACACTTGCTAATAATTTTCTCTAAGATATAAGTAAGTAATTACGATATGCTCTATTATTTCTTTATTGTTATATTTTCTCTAAGATATAAGTAAGTAATTACGATATGCTCTATTATTTCTTTATTGTTACATTTTCTCTAAGATATAAGTAAGTAATTACGATATGCTCTATTATTTCTTTATTGTTATATTTTCTCTAAGATATAAGTAAGTAATTACGATATGCTCTATTATTTCTTTATTGTTACATTTTCTCTAAGATATAAGTAAGTAATTACGATATGCTCTATTATTTCTTTATTGTTATATTTTCTCTAAGATATAAGTAAGTAATTACGATATGCTCTATTATTTCTTTATTGTTACATTTTCTCTAAGATATAAGTAAGTAATTACGATATGCTCTATTATTTCTTTATTGTTACATTCTTAAACAGTACTGGTTAGAATGTTTAATATATCTAATTTTACTATTTTTAATTCTAATTTTCATCATTATACTTTTATTATTATGATTAGCTTAATTTTTAGCTTAAATGTTTATTTTCGACTTGCCTAAGTATCTTAGGCTGGTTGAAGCTCGTGAGATATATTGGGTTACGATAAAAAATAGTAAGGGTACCCAAGTGACAAAACAATGCATTATAATCTTTATAATCAGAACCTAGGAAACATTATACTTAATTCACTGTACTAATCAACCATGGTGATTTTTAGTTTTGCTCAAAGTAGGTAACTTGCTCTGATCAGGAGTTAATATTAATTTCTAAACTATTGAATAATCCAACAACAGTATTTCAAAATATTTCAAGATTATATTAATACATGGCCCACAATATACAATACCTGATCCCACTGTTCTCCATTCAGCAGATCTGGAGGCTGTGAAGTACTTGAAAAATTTGTCTGTGATAAAGAGTGATGAGAAAAACTTGGAGGTTTTCGTTTTGGATCTGATTCAGCAATTTCACCATTTGGATGTGGTTGACTAGTTGATGGTGAAGGAAATTCCAACTGTCTTCTGTTAAGTATAATAAAGATAATTAGTATACATCTAAACAGAACAACAGTTAACAAATTACAAGGACATCCACTTGTAGTATTAAGCTTACAACAGCTTAAAATCTGCTTCCAACATACCAATTATGTTGCTAAGTATAATCATTGATAAAATTAGATTAGCATAATCTATCTCCTCAAGGCTGTTATACTATGGTTTTTGTCATAAACTGTTCAATGAACATGTCAAGATTTTCAAACATTAACCTTTGAATTCTGCATTGTCATACCTTTAAAAACAGTTTACACCTTGCATATTTTAACTTTTTTTAAATAACATGACATTGAAATAGCTATTCATCTCTTTACACACATTAAAAAAATCCTAACCATGATGTTTAAACACTCAAATCATTATAGACAGAATAAATGTCTCCAATAAGAGAGAAACATGGGAAGACAGGTTCTCCAAAGACATTTCCAAATTCACTGTAAGGAATAAAAACAGGCTCTGTTTACAGGAGTGAGATTTTCCAGATAAGATTTTCCTTTGAAAGGAATTTCCTAGAAATTGAAAAAAAGAACTGAAAAAGCCTGACAATTTGAATCTATTTTGATGTCCATCCCTAAATCAATCATACACTGATGTACATGTATGACAACATTATAATACACTCTCATTTATGATTATGTTATTATATGATGAATGCAACTATCAAGAAAAATATGTATGATGATTTTCGTGTGATTGTCTTTTCAGGTTTTCCAAATAATTGCCAGATCTAATAAAGTTAACCTATCAATTCAAAAGTAATGTTTGAAGAACAAGTCAAACTAAAAGTTAATTATTGTTATCAGTTCAACAGTTCCTTAGAAGTCAACAAAAATGTACAGTGATTGTATGCTAAATATTCTAGTTATAAATAAAATATTAATCCAGCAATCACCTATTCACAAATGCTGAAGCATACTTCCTCAACATAATTTCACTTTCTTAAATCTAAACTATCATTCCATCATCTGCATACATTGCTTTACAAAGTAACCCCAATCATTCTCATACTTAATTTTTTTATGGTAAAAAAACATGAATGTTTAAAAGACTTTTGTTTTCCTATTTTTAGCTGACCATTTAGTGATATTCTCAGTTTTACTGGAAACTCATTTATTCATACTTTATATTACAATATAAAGAGTCTTTTGTAACCTTTTCTGTCATATTAATAAAAGATTACGCTTGCACAAGAAGCAGTGTTAACAATGCAATGTGATGCATTACTTTATTTTGTATAAAATTGAGAGAGTATACAAGAAAAGCAGATTAAGAAAAACATTTGTCATACTAATGTATTGATGCTGATACATATGAAATTTGGAGTTGTTATATTTTGCAAAAAATAATTTAAAAAGTGACAAGTTTGTAATATAATAACACTACCATAGAAGTACATTTCTTAAGCTTAATCAAAAAATCTTTAAGGTTCATATGAATAATTTTTCTCAAACAGATCATGCTTACTTCATGGAGGAATATGTGCTGTGTGCTCCATAATAATTTTACTTCTTCAACTATACTCTTAATTTACATTTATTATATATGTATATATAATCTTCTCATTCATTATTTTATTTTTAAACCTGTAAAAAGCACAGTTCCTCAACTATGCACTACTCAACATATAACCCTCTGCAAGTTTTCCTCAACATTCACCCAAAAACAAAACTTCTTTGGTCATTTATAGTAACATGCATAAAGTTTTTTTCCAAGAACTTGTTTTTTCTTTCAATATTCCTCAAATGGTAAAATTAATTTTTTTTAAACATGATCACATATATAAAGTTGATTTTTCTTGTTAAATAAAAATCTATCTGTAACATAAGATTTCTAATAAAGTAGAATTAAATCATTATGTATTATCCATTCACATCACTTTGTTAATTAAACCCAGTCTAGAACTTTCAGAATTTATAATTTTCCTACACTGAAAATGTATTTCCGATAGATACTTACCTCCTCTCACATAATAGTTTTCTCATTCAGTGATGCCCTCTATATGCACAATTTTTGCTTGACACTAGCCTTGATACTCCCACCTTCCGCCAAGTGTTTACATGTGGTATAGCTGTGCCATAGCATGCAAATAAGCATGCGACAGCCCTCCACCAATAGAAGTGTGACACACCCTCCTGAGACAGTTGGTTCCCTCAGTATTGTAGAACCCAATCTTCACTTCTCGATTTGGCATAGTTGCTTGCTTTGATTATTTTTTCCATTTTGGAAGATTTTGTGGAACAACTATTTTCATTGTTTCCAGCATAATAATTTTTCTTCTATACATTAATTTGATATTCTAAGTTGATCTGGAAAATCTCATTCTCAGTTTGAATTATGAATTCACAATTTCGAGTTACAGCAACTACTACTGTTCTTACTACTGCCACTGAACCTCAACCTGCAGTTTCTTAGGTTTTAGGATCCATTCTTTCTGCTGAGGAGGTTTCAGTCTTAGTTCTCCACGAGTTGGAGCCCATTTAATAGCCTGCTGTGTCTCCTGACCCAAGAACAGACTTACCATTTTCTGGGGAACTGGTCAGGAAGACAAGAAATTGATTAGCCTGTTCGCACCTCCTTCCTTCACCATGCAATCCAAGGTCACACCTGTGGATGCTCATGGACCTTCTTCTTCATTGATATGGTATCCTAGGTAATTTACCTTTTGTCTATATCCCCTGTGTCTTATGATTCCTTTCATTTCCTCCTGCATGCCACCCCTTCTTCAGATTACCTTGTTTTCCATTTTGATCAGTTTACAGCATAATTACATTCTGAGATCAGCATGCCTTGTCACCTTCGTGTTTCTGATTCCTGCACATTAGCATATCATCATTCAATATTTCCTTTTCCAGACTCACAGAACTTAGAGTGTTTGATTCAGGTGTGGGGATCTGACCCTTATACTACTGAGAAATTTTTTTCAGCCCCAATTTTCCCACCTCCATTTGACCCTCACCACCCTACCATTACCTCCCCTCTATCCATCTCTTATCCGAGGCTATCCACAGTTCCCCTGAGGGGTTTTTGATGGATATTCACTTCCTCCTGTTTTCCACGTTGGCATGCTTGTCTTCCTCTGCCCTTTCCCTCCAAATTTGGCTCCTCTGTTGTTGGTATCTCCTGGGTAAGAACACGCTTTTAGCTCATGTGTACCTGTCCACTTATTTATGTGACCTTCGTATGGTTTCATTTTTTCACCTATCAGTCTTTGGAGATCTTCCTGACTCATTGAAGTTCACGATGAAGGCTGCTTGTCAACACTCCTCCTTTCATCCTTGGTCTCTCATCTTTCACAGCATTCGCCAGCTCCTGTATCTCACTTTTCTCCTTCCTTCCCTTTGCCTGTCCCTCTCTCTGTGCTCAGATATCACAGAATTAAAACTGAACAAATTGCAGGTAACACCAGCACTAGTGACTGCTCAAATGCATGACCAACAAAAAAAAAATGCTGATGGTTAAATAAAAGTTTATTTGTGGATTGTTCACACACACATCAAAACAAAGACAAAACAGCATAGTTATACTCACACTATTTAATGGATTGTTCACACACATCAAAACAAAGACACAACAGCATAGTTATACTCACACTATTTAATGGATTGTTCACACATATCAAAACTAAGACACAACAGCATAGTTATACTCACAATATTTAATGGATTGTTCACACATATCAAAACTAAGACACAACAGCATAGTTATACTCACACTATTTAATGGATTGTTCACACATATCAAAATTAAGACACAACAGCACAGTTATACTCACACTATATAGTCTACTTGATTATTTATTAAATAGATTAAACATTGTTCAGTAATTATTTACAACATTATCTATTACCTATAGCTGACAAGTTCTTGAAAAAATAGTCTCCAAATATTATAACTCGTGCTTTAAAATAAAGCCTCAACTGTCTAAGTGAAAAGTTCATTAATATTTTCATCATTGGTTTTATCTTATAATTATAAAAACAATAACTTTGTTTTTGTTTTTATTAACCATTAGTGTGTTTTTTTGTTTTTTCAAGCTGCAATTACAATACTATTAACTTGTACTAAACAACACAATAAAATTTGACTATTCTGTTTTATTTAGCAATTAAAAATTTGTTGTAACTTTAAGGACTACAACCAAAACAATAACTGTTTTGAATTTTACATTATTTATTCGCAAATCAATTTTTGAAAATAAATATATAATAAGAAGGACAAATACCCATATTTTGTGTACATATTGTTTTATTAGCAAAGCATTTCTGTGTGATAAGCCCTGATTGAATGGGCTAGTAATTTAAAATGTTAATGTAGAGTTCTGATGTAACAGATATGTTGAAGAGACTGCCTTGAAAGTCTCAAAAATTACCCACTTTACAATTAAGAGGAAATCCATTCCCAAAGAATAATTACATGTAAACAAGTAGAAGATTATAAAAAGTAGCAGAACAAAAAGAGTCAAACAAATGAAAAGGATTCCTGCAATCAATATTCATATAAGGTACCAGAATGCCAGAGCAAAGATTATGAAAATTATAATGATGTAAAAACAAAAGTGGTTAGTTAATATACAGTAAACAATATATCTCTGAGATTAAAAAGTTCCAATACTTTCAGATACCTATCATAGAGCCTGAATCTAAGATTTTTTCAATTTATATATTTGACAGTTTTAGTTTAGTTCAGAGGATGGGACAGCCGAGATGGATCAATAGGTCATCTGTTGTCCCTAAACATTATGTTAGATGGAAGAAACAAGTTAGAGATTATTGGCATGGTGTGTCGAGAAATGTTAAAGACTATGTTCAAACTTGTCACATTTGTTAAATAAAACCAGAAACAAGGCATCATGGCTTAATGATTCCAGTACATCCTACCTTTCCTTGAGAATTTTTGGGCATTGAAAAGCAACATACAAGTGGGATAAGTATTTACACTTCATAGCTTTTGCCTTGCAAAGTGCACCA